ATAGTAAAATATAGATCTTTATTTTAAATTATAAAATCAGTATGTAGCTCCAAAACAATCTAATCTTATGTCTGTGTAGGTTAGCTGAAGAACTCCATATGCCATGTGTTCCGGAAATGATGTTTGGTGACAATATCCTAAGAATTCAGCATGAACTGTTCTTTGGCATAGAGTTCAATGCAACCGATGCTTTAAAATGCGTAAATAACTCCCAAGGAATGGTTAAAGTCGCTTGTGCAGAAGAGTGGCAAGAAAGCAGGTAATAGCATATTTGTGTGTTTTCTTTAAATAATATAGCTTAATGGGCTCTATGGAATGGTTTTGGAAGCTGTGTAATGCTTCAGATCTTACACTTGTCTGAAATTCTTTTAAAGCAGCTTCTTATTTTGCTAGTTGTCCCCCCTCCTTAAAGCAGATAAGCCATGTAATCCTTATAAAACTATTGGGTTAAAGAGTTGTAGGCAGGTCCTACATGTGCGCTAGTGTACCTTGAAACATCTTTTGGGAATCATTTCTGAAGGGTTGCAGTTCCTTAATAGATATAATCTGTATTTATTTATGTTGTTCACTTGATATGTGATCTTGACAGTTATTTTTAAGAAAAGACTGGACATTCACCTGTCTGAGACGATGTAGGTCAGTGATGGCGAACCTTTTAGAGACCGAGTGCCCAAACTGCAACCCAAAACCCACTTATGCATTGTCGAGTGCCGGGTGGGCATGGCCCATTGGGTGGGCGTGGCCCATTGGGTGGGCATGGCTGCGGTGGTAACGGTAGACTGGGTGGGACTAAAAAGTTCAATCAATCAATTCCAACTTTGCAACATCTTTTTTTTTCCCGCAAGAAGTTAAAAATGGACTGATTGAATCTTTTTTTTTTTTGCACACAGCAGCGGAGGCCTAAAGCAAAAAGGTTTTATAAAACCCAGCTGAAGGCCTAGGGCTGGGGCGACGTCACGCGTGCCCACAGAGAGGGCTCTGAGTGCCACCTCTGGCACCTGTGCCATAGGTTCGCCACTACTGATATAGGTTCTCCTGCTTGAGCAGGGGGCTGGACTAGAAGACCTCCAAGGTCCCTTCCAGCTTCTATTCTATTCTATTCTGCTCTACTCTACTCTTTCTGACTTCCTATTTTTCCTATGTTATGAATGGTACTATTAAAATTAATCTTTAATCTTAATCTTTAAAATTTTTGAAATCATAGTTAATTTGTTAATTCCGAAGCACATGTGGTTTTGTACAAAAATAATTCTTCAAATACATCAAACTGTCTGATGAAGAATCCTGATGAAATATCCTATTTTAGATATTTTTGCTTCATCTTTGAACAGCTACAATCTGATTCCATACAGGTGATTTAAACAGAATTTACTTTAAGATCACAGTGCTCATGATTATAAGCATAAAAGCAGGAAGAAATGAAGGGGGGTACATTGCTTCTATAGCTAACATCTCTGAGGAAAACAAATAAGAATTTGTTTACAGTATTAAAAAAATACTGTAATGCCTTGCCACATTTTCTCTCTCAGCATATTAAATCTATCAGTTTACAGACACATATTGATTTATAGAGGCAACATTGATGTATTTTGTAAAATAGATGTATAGAAATAGTTTTTGCCTGGTCCTATGCTTGACATGCTATAATTGTCTTTTCCTGTAGGTCTGAGCCCGAACACACAAAGGAAGTTGTTAAACCATACGATTGGACTTACACAACAGACTATAAAGGAACTCTGCTCGGTGAAACACTAAAGTTAAAAGTATAATTGTGATGGTCAACTATTTGCAAGAATGAATTTGTTGAACAGTTGGGGAATCAATTACATAAGAAAGAACATTTAATTTCTGCTGTGTTGTTCTAGGTTTCTTCTACAACAGAACATATAGATACAGAGAAATTAAAAGCCAGGGAACAGATAATGTTTTTTGAGGAAGTGCTCCTGTTTGAAGATGAACTTCATGATCATGGGGTTTCAAGTCTGAGTGTCAAAATTGTGAGTCCAGTAATCTTTTACATGCTTCTTCCATAATTGTAGAAAATGCAGAAAAATACAGAACTGAGAGAATAACAAACCTTTTAGTAATATCCCTTAAATTTGTTTCTTTTTGGTGTTTTCCTGTTTAAATTTCAAAGTTTAGAAATCTACAAGTGATTTTCATCTTGACTCTTCCTTTGATTAAAACATTGGCAAAAAAATTCATTCATGAGTTTCTAAAGAAAAAAGATAGCATGGTATTATAATAACCTTTTATTTTGTTGGAATTAATTAAATTATATAATGATATAAATAAGTCACTGCAAAAATGTAATAGGCTGATTTTAAAATGTTGCAGGAAACACTTTCTATGCAAAAATGTATAGTCCTCTATATGGGTAGTCCTCAACTTATGACCACAGTTGAGCCCAAAATTTATGTTAAGTGAGAAATTTGTTAAGTGAGTTTTGCCCAATTTCATGACTTTTCTTGCCACATTTGTTTAAGTGAATCACTGCAGTTGTTAAGTTAGTAACATGGTCGTTAAGTGAATCTGGCTTCCCCATTGACTTTGCTTGTCAGAAGGTTGCAAAAGGAGAACACATGACTCTGGGACACTGTAACCATTATAAATGTGAACCAGTTGTCAAGCATCCGAATGTAAATCACATGACTATGGATGCTGCAATGGTCAAAAGTGTGAAAAATGGTCAGTCACTTTATTCAGTGCCATTGTAACTTTGAACGGTCACTAAACAAACTGTGGTAAGTCGAGGACTCCCTGTATACTTATATACTTGTATACTAAAAATAATGTCTTCATTGCTGACATTTCCCCGACTGATAACAATGCAAAACTAATTAGCTTACAGATTTTCCTGATCATGTATTTGTGCCTGCAGGAAATTAAGATCTATTAAGATTATCTTCCTAAATGTTACTGGAAAGGTAATATTATTGACTAATGAAGGCTTTTAAGACATTTACTATCTTTCTAATTACCTGTTAGAGTAATATGTCTTAAATGTGTGCAAGTGCAAATTATTC